TATCCGGGTATTTTAAATTTTCTAACACTGGATACGCATCAGAATTTTCCTCATGACATTATGTAACGAAGAAAGGTCATGTGAACTGATTTTGCCATTACAAACTTTTGCACTAAAAAATCTGCATTTGGTTAGTAAATTCTGAAAGTCAATAATAAAAACAAGATAAATGATCATCATGCACTTTAATTGAGACAAAAACCTGTTAAAGATCATTCTTATGGTATATGTGATGCATTTCGTGATGTTTAAGCACAAATATTCCCATTTTTACTGCATTAGCACATTTCCCAATCAGATATGAGATTTTGCGGACACACATCACTTAACTTGCTATAGTTACCATAAAAAAAATTCACATATTTGGTTAGCGCAAATTCTAAATTAAATCAGAAAGCACCAATGATTAATATTCATCAAATAATCATAATCGAGATAAAACCTGCCTATCCCACAAATTTAAATTATTATATGCCACATTTTCTTCTATGACGCCAAACAAATATATTCGGATAGCACCAGTCGAAATCGCACTAGAATGCACTATGAAAAAAATCAAGACAAAACCTGTACAATAAGCAAATTTAGAAATCACACCGATAATCTTAATTACTAATGCACAGCCACGTGATGCATGATCGTGAAGGTTAAGCACAATTTTTCACAGTTTTACTCTATTTGACGCATTAACCAATCAACTATAAGATTTTATGGACATACATTATTAAAAATGCCTTATAACGTGATATTTACATATCACTCCGTTCCTGGTATAAATGTATGTATACAGAAAAAGATTAAGTATGAAATTCAAATCACGAGAATGGACCTACTTTCTCTTCATTCTTAGACTTAAATGATAAATGATAATGTATATAAAGTTCATATTGTGTATAAATATAGATTCAAGTCACGAGGATTATTTATCCAATTAGATGCTGAGAATTGCGCAGACACATTAACTTGCCAGTAAACCATACACTATGTACTTTGTACTCCGTTCCTGGTAATTCAGCTTAAGAATCTACAGATATTCTCATAAATCAAGCATAACCACCCAAATCGGAGTTTAAATCACCTACCCGTTATCAATTTGGTAGATATGGTTACTGCACTTTTCAAATTACTGTGATCAGTGATTTTCATTCATCACACCGGGAATCAGAAATCTAGAAATATATGATTGCTAAAAATTATTTTTAACCAATCACAGATTTGCATTTATTCTAGGTTTCTGATTTCCGGTGTGATTTATGAAAAATCACAGATCACAGCAATTTGAAAAGTGCAATAATATAATGTGACTAATTACTGTATTATTTTCAATGCCATTTTCTTTGACATATAAAATTTTTTTTTTGCAAAAATAAAAAAAAATAATTCTTTCGCAAATCTAAAATGGAAATTAATACCTAATATTGTTCACAAAAAAAGTAGTTGATGCTTTCGAAAATAACAATAAAACATGTATTCTATGCTTGGAGCATCCAAATAAAGAGCAAACAATAGATAATTTAACAAGAATCACAGAAATATCGTAGAGCCGGAAGAGTTTGAAAGTATCTTTTATAAAAAACTCATCACGGAAATTGAAAATGAAAATAACGGACAAATGAATCTAGAAATATTAGAAAAATTAATAAGGTATATTATAAATAATCTGCTGGCTTATTTTACGTAAATAAAATATTTATTATATTTTTATTTAGGCCTTTTACTTACTTAATAAGTCTAAAAAAAAATGTTGATTCAGACTTTGTACCGCTTCAAAAAAAATGATGAAAGATATAAAAAATTTGGAGCAAGCAAAAAATATTCAGAAAACATGTGGTGGAAGTAATAATAATACCTTTATTGGCAATAAATTAAAATAATTGCGAAATATGAACTATAGTTTAAATTATAATGATTTGAACGTTGAATTTATTATTTTTTTCATGCAGAATTTTTATTTATATAAATCTTGTCTTTTAAATTTCGATCTTTAATTCGAATGGTATCTCAAGCAAAATATCTCAGATTTAATTTTCAAATTATTGTTGCGTAACTGATTTGGGTGGTAATGCTAAGTGGGTTGTTATCGGTCTAGATCAGAGTTCCAAAGGTTTTTTTGGTAACTAAAATTTGTTTGGGAACAAATATTTGGGTTTGGTAAGTCCGTTAAAGAATCAAAGATTTAAGATTATATTATTAGCAAGAGCTTCTGATCATGCAATATAAAAAAAGTTGATCCGTGTTTTATATCGATGTTTTCCCGTAAATATTGCATATTCACAGAGTTTATGGCCTTAAATCATGGAGATTATTCGACTTGTCTAAATTTTGTATGTTATAGATTCACGGAGTTTTCACAAAAAATAATGGAGATATTTGGATAAAATTTCTTACAGGGATATTTTACCATCATGAACATTTAATCCGTTATTTCCAAGATTCAAATACAGAAATAGACTAGCGTGACAAAGAACTTCTGCTATTCCTTTTCCACTTCATGATCAAGTTAATTGTAAAAAATATTGTGGTTTTGCTAAGAACAATTTTAACGTTTTTCCTTCCACAGATACTAGTTCATTAATAGCAAACATAAAGAAATAAGAATTGTGTTTTTATAAGAGTTTTAACCAATGCAATTCCTCCTTCGCCACAAATTCGATTATAATTAGCTTCGGTATTAGACATCTTGCACGAGACACATCTCTTACTGTTTTGACGATCCGCGTATGTACACTATGAGTAAACTAATAAATTTCCATTTATTTAAATATTTATTTAACTATATATATATATAATATAAAAATATACAAATATTATCCACATCGGGTTTGTATCTACATATAAATTTTATATAACGCTAAATAAAATAATTTCCTGATAATGTTAAATTTCCTAGTTTATGTCGACTTGCTCTATTTGTGTTTCACTGAATAATTTATAATCACTTTCTTCATTTTCTTTAAATCCTGTAATAATCCGATTTAATTCAGATAAGTTAATAGTTCGGCTTGTAAAGTATGCCCCGCATTTTGTGCTGTTGGTTGGACAGAAATTTCTTGAAGTTCCTTATCAGAACTTCGAAATTGCATGATAGCCTGTTCAATTTTATCATCTCTTATATCCTCAATATCTTTGTTATAATTTTCCCAACAATTGTACATAATATTTAGTAATTCTTTAGCTGTTGGTCGTTTAGAAGGATCTACATCCCAGCATCTATCAATCAATGAAGCGTAAAATTGCGGCACATAATTAGCAATTTGTGGCCTAACACCTTTACAAATATCAACAAAAAGATTTATATTATGCGAAAGATTGTTAAATGGTGGTTCACCAGCTGTAATTCCCACATAAGCATGCCAAGCTGTAAATATCTGATTTTTCAGTATAAGGTTTTTCTCTTAAAACCTCAGGTGCAATATAAGGAAGCACGCCACATATTTCACCATTTTTTAATGAATATTTTTGAACTCGTTGTGACAATCCAAGATCACTTATTAATGGAATGTTCCAATCATCATTTTCATTAAAATAATTACACACCAGTATATTTCCACTGTGCAAATCTTTATGAACTAGATTTAATTGATGAATTCCAACAAGCCCAAATATAATTAAATTCAAAATAAATAATCGTTTTTTCCAATTCATCCTACATATCTTTTGTAAATTACTTCTTAAACTTCCTCCATGTGCATAATTCATCACGATTATATATTCTGAAGTCCCAGGATCTTGAGTGATTCCAAGTATTGGAAATAAAAACTCTGTCATCTTAAAAGCACTTAAATGATTTTTAACTAAATTATAAAAAAAAAAAAAACAAGTCCGATTTAACGACGAATTAAACAAATAAATTCACGCAATGCATTAATTATTGAATATAGCTGTCTGCAAAATGTTTTCAGTATCTTTGATAATATTTTCTGATTGCCAATTGCGTGTTATGACTTAATAATACTGATACGACAGGCAAAAAAATTATGAAATACTATATTTATATTGAATCTTTGACAAAAAATATAACATTATAATCGTACAATCGAATGTCAATCAGGCAATTTTGATTGATTGCAATGTGGGCTGCGATTAGAGATGGGATTAGAGTTTGAAATCGGCTTTTTTTTCATATGTTAAACCCGGTTTTAATCAGGTTTAACATTTTTCGGCATTCATTCGCATAGCCCATCTCTAATTTCAATTTTTCTTTATAAAAAATTTTTATGGGATAAATATATATGATTCGGAGTCATGCGATCTATAAATTTGATCTATAATATATCATTTGCAAACAATGCTAAATAAAAAACATGAAAATGAACTTACTTCATTTAAAAATTGATCTTTAATATTTGATGAATTATTAAGCCTTTTTAATGCAACGAAAAGACCTTTTTTTAAATTATCACTATCTCGATCTGAAAATTCTTTATACTTCCAATTATCATCGATTAACCCTATAGCTCTTTGCCAATTATTCTTTTCGTGATTCCACTTTATAATACGTCCATCAATCCAAATGGCTTTATAAATAACACCGAACCCACCTTTG